AATGAGCCCTGATGTTCGGAAGATGTTTCCACAAGTTGAACGATTACTTCGACCCATTCAGATAAACCCAGCTAGCTCGTGTAGTGCGGAAAGATCTTTCGGTGCCCTAAGACACCTAAAGACTTGGTTACGCAGTACGACCAAACAATCGCGATTAAACCATCTGCTACTGTGTGATGTTCACAGTGACCGAGGGGATCACGTGGCTAAGTGGGTAAGACGCTGGCTCGCTAGCCGAGAAAGTTCATCCAGATTTTCCGGCGTGGTTCCCCCTTGTCAGTGATGCAGGACGGAGGGCCTGACAAGGACAGCTGTCTAGTCCTTCGGATGAGACGAAAAACCGACGTCCCGTGTATACATTGGAATGCACGTAAAAGATCCCTTGGCAGTTGGAATTCGATATAAGAGTAGGCGATAGTGCCGCTGTCCGGGCAAAATTTTCCTCATAGCACACTGTATGGCGTATGCCCGTCTTCATTAGCCAGCATAGGAGCAGAACAGTAGGACGTTAAACCCCATTTCATTTCATTTCACAGTGACCGGCTTGAGAAATTTGAACCCCGAGTTATCGCGAAAAAATTCTTACAGAACAATTCGGATACAAAGAACAAAAGTATTTGGACGTTACTAGTGATCCGGATTGCTCTTCTGGTTCTTGTATAGCTGTAATAATGTATCGGCTTCTTTCAGGGCACACGCTACAAGTGATTGCCTCTTTAAACGATTCAGCAAATAATAAAATTCCAAACACATAATTTCTAACATAACATCACTACTGTCACTGGGACAATATAAACAGCTAGATTTAACTTTTAAAAAAAAAGCGAAAAGTTATTATTTTAATGTGGTCGCCATTCTTGAATTTTAACGTGGGAAAATTCGCCTTTGCCATCCGATTTTTAATCACCAATGAATTATACAGTAAAATGTTACATTTATTTCAATTGGGATTGAATATTGATATGTTTAGCTGTGTGTGTGGCTTGTTTTAGTTAATATAAATTAAAAGATTTGTAGGCCTGTACATTTGTGTATCCAATTGAATACACATTTTGCTCAAAGACTTTACGTAGCTGCAATCTCAGTGGTGTAAATATTTCTAGTTCTTGTAGAGTACATGAGAGAATAAATCGTGAACGGTGGCTTGAAGATTTGTCTTTAGATTAGATTTCGTATCATTTGCTGCCTCGGGGATTAGAATGGTTTGCCAGAAAATGATGCTGAAAATACCCACAGAGTGCGTTTTAGAGCGTCTATTTTTGGCGATCTGCGCCCCTGCTGAAATGTCTGACTTTGATGTCCTCACTATATCTGAAACTGGGTTAAGTGATATATACATCAATTGTTGAACTGCTTGAACTCATTGGTTATCATAAACCTATACTATGTAATTAGACATTTTGTACCCAGTGGAGGCGTGGCTATTTACATACCCGAATAGCTTTATTTTAAAGCTAGACTTACGCGGTTTCCCCTTGTCAGTGGTATGCACGTAAAAGTTCCCATGGCAGTTGGAATTAGATATAAGAGTGGACCTTAGTGCCGCTGCCTGGGCAAAATATCCCCCATAGCATACTATATGGCGTATGCCCATCTTCATTAGCCTAGTCGGACAAGAGGCAGTCTGGGTTGAAATAGGAAATGAAACCAATATATATTTGATAGGTTCTTTTTATAGATCCCCAACAGCAAATTTGGAATACTGAAATCTAATCGAACAAAGTATAGAACCATAGACCAAAATATTAAAATTATAATTTTAGGTGATTTTACTGTTAATATAGTTAATAAAAATTCTTCAAGGATTAGCAGTATTATGCACAGCTTTGATCTAACACAACTTATATATTCATACTAACAACCATTTATGGAATAACAGCTACATGGTTTAATTAACTATTTATGGAATAACAGCTTCATGGTTTTTTGACATGCAACCCTAGTCTCGATTATCCAATTTTGGATTAAATTATCAATGAGTGTTGCGTTGAGGATTTCAGTTGAGTTTATGTTATCTGGGCAACTCACGAGTATTATTAAAATATCAAGTAGCGTCGCACTAGTCTCGTTAATACGCGTTGATGAATTTATAACTTTTTTGAGTGACATTTAGTAATTGATTAGTAACACACTAACAACTATTTATGGAATAACAACTACTGGTTTATTGACATGCAACATATGCTTGAACATACATTAATGCAAGAGCTAAATCTGCCTATTGCAGGTATTTCCTTAGGCCTCAAATCTTATCTAAATTATTAATTAGACATTAATTAACCTATCCAGACCATAATCAACTCTCGATGGTATAGTTAACCTGCGGTGTTTATTGGATTAGGTCCGATTTCTTGATCGACTTCCATGGATAATCGAGACTATGTTTTTATCGTACTGACTTTAGTAATGATCATCGAGGCTATAGGCCGAAAATTCAATCGCTAAAATCTCGGGACAGAGTGGATCAATTTGATTGAAATTTTCAGCAAATTTCCTTTACATTATCTAGCTTTTCACTATTATAGTGAGAACTGTCAGCTCTTTATCTAATCACTCATAATATATCTTTAAGTAAAATATTCACTCTTTGTCAGCAAAATGCAACTTCTCCCAACATATGGTAAATAGCATGTTCCTATATTTAAGAATGGCGATCCACATGATTGTTCTGGTTATCGACCTATGCCCTTGCTTAGTACCTTAGGTAAGGTTTTCGAGAGGTGTATTTAAAAGTTAATTCATAATATTTGTTCTCACTCATGCTGTATTAACCGTATTCCAACCCGGATTTAGACATCAGCAAGGCGTTTGATCGCGTGTGGCATAAAGGTCTACTACATAAAACTAAATGCCATTGGCAAAATGGCTAAATTATTTTTGCACATCGAAAACTATTGCTTAAAGGTGAATATTCTAACATAAAAACTGCCCTCAAGGACCCCTTCTTTTCTTGATCTATATCAACGATGTAGTAAATGATTTCAAGTCTAGTATACGCTTTGTTGCTAATAATACGTCATTATACATGGTTAGAAGATAATCTTGGATGTAGTAATATTCTTAATAATGATTTGGAGTCAATTAAGACTTGGGCAGCCAAGTGGGAAGTTACCTTCAACCCTTCAAAAATAACTTCCATGACATTCCCCCGAAAACATATGCCAACAAATGTTGAACTGAATTTTAATGGACTGAACATAAAGACGTTAATAAAAATAAACATATTGGAATAATATTACATAAAAGCTGTACATGGTCTTCCCATGTAAATTAGGTTATTACCAAAGCCAGTAATATGATTCAAACACAGAATCTCGCGTAAATCATTTGAAATTATTTACAAAAGTTTTATTCTGCCAATCTTTGATTACACCGACGTGGTGTGGAATAATTGTAGTCAAGACGACGCAGCTAAACTTGAAGAGCTACACTTGGACACATTGCGTACTATTACAGGCCTTGTTAGAGGCACTTCGCACAGACAGGTCTATGTTGAATCTGGCCTTCCATCTCTCAAAGCTAGAAGGTAATACAACTTGTCTTATTCTTTAAAATGTCAAACAAGATTGTACGCCAACCAAACACAAATGAAATGAAATAAAATGAAATTAAATGGGTTTTAACGTCCTACCCCGACTGGACTAATGAAGATGAGCAAACGTCACACAGTGCGTTATGAGGAACATTTAACGAGTACGCCAATGTGTCCACAGGACCTTGGTTTTCCGTCCCATCCGAACCTCTATACGGTATCCCTTGCCAGGCCCCCCGTCCCGCACAATTCACAAGGGGGAATCACGACGGAAAATTCCCGATGAACGTTCTCTGCCAACGCAGGGATCGAACACGGAACCTCCGGGTTAGCGAGCCAACGTCTTACTCACTGAGCCAGCCCCTTGCACGAAATGATCCACTGATCAGCAGTGAATATTCTCTAGGCCGCTTCAACAGTCACTGAGTGGGATGACATCGGTGTGATTTAATGAGCTTGCGATATTAACTTTTAAATTCCAAAGATTTTTTTTTTTTTTTTTGATGCATTACAAAAATAAATAAAGTTATTTGAAGTATATCAAGATAAAAAAAATATTACCTATTACACGCTATTATGTTTGGTGCATGCCCGACCGAAGGGGACAGAGCCACGCCTTATTTTTTGTATTTGTTTGTCGCAGATCATCTTGAAACTTTGCATACCTATTCCTTATACCCTTAGGAAGACCCCTATTTGTTTTTGATACATGCACATCACCCAGGGACAGAGCCACGCCCATTTTCCTTGTGTGCCCGTGTGTTGCCTACTGGCCGCAATACTTAATGGATTGTCTTGGAACTTGGCATATTGATTCCTTATACATGTACTGTAATGACGGCAACTATTGATTTTGGTGCATGGCCATTTTGTCTATAAATTCTCTACAGGTCGCATATATTACCAGATTTTGTTCAAATTCGGCGTGATCAATCATTTCAATATTTACCCATATACAACCCCTAGGAGCAGAGCCACGCCCAATTTTTGTGTTTATTGTCTGAATATTGTCTGTATACATGTATTTATTCCTTATACAGAAAGGACAGCATATATCGATTTCGGTTCATGCCCCAAACCACAGGGGCGGTGCCACACCCACTTTTTGTATTTATTGTGTTCAGGCTGGAATTCTGAATGGATCATCTTTGAACTTGGTATGATTATTTCTTACACCATAAGGACGGAAACTGTTGGTTTTGGTGCATACCCCGACCCCCGGGCCCACAGTAACGCCCCAATTTTGTGTTAATGGTCTACATGCGGCAATTCCGAATGGATGTTTCTGGCACTTGGCATATTGATACCTTATATCCAAAGGACGGCAATATCTGATTTTGTTACATTTGGCAAAACAAACAGAGCACCCAGCCTTCTTTGTCTCGATTGGTATATATTTCAGTCGTTCTAGCCCTTTCATATTTCATTCTCTACATTTTAAAAAGGACCATATTAACCAATGCAGGAATGTCAAAGTTTATAAGGAGTTTTATTTTCATTCGTTGGGATATTTAATTGTGCAGTGAATTTTATTTAATCATAATTAAAGATACATTATTCAAGAGCTATTGCCGGTCTTTCTGTGGAACTTAAAGGTTATATACATTATTTATTAGACATTTATTAACATGGCAAGACTATAATCAACTCTCGATGTCATCGGATGGCTCTGATTTCAAGTAGATTAGAACGGTACGGCCATTTAATGATTTAATTTAATGATAATAACCTAGCAATGCACAAATCTTGTCAAAACTGCAGTGATAACTTGGCTCAGAATAAAGTAATTTGAGTAAAATTTGCAATATCTGTTTTTGAACTATTATAGCAAGAGCGATCAGCTCTTTATCCAAATCGTACATAATGTATCTTTAATAAGATATATTAATAAATGGTATTTTCCAATTCATTCACTGTAGTGTGTAGTAATAGGAGACGTGATTCACGCCTGCTGTAAATTACTTATACTCGATAAGAACAGAATTTCCATCATCCAAATTGTATATAATAGTATACGGGATCAAACGTTTGATAGTCATGTTTCACACTATATTAATTATAGACACAGTTTCTAAGGCTCTGAACGCTTGACTTCATATCAACTTGGGAAAACGGAACATTTGGGGGATTTTCATAAAATAAACGAAGTTGTATATATTGCGGAATTTACCGTCTAGACATTATTGTTAGTAATACAGTATACATTTACCACATTCTTAAGCAATACAATAACTGATTTTTATAAAGTAAACTGGGTGATTTATAGGCCTAAAGTTTACTACTACAAATCATGGTATTTTACGAATTACAAACCAATCAAAGGGTCCAATTTCTACTATCGTGAGTTTTGTGGTTGCTGTTTGTAAGTCGAAAGAGTTCAATGACTATATTCATATAACTGTTGCACAAATAAATGTTCCTATTTTACATCATACCATCTGAAATATAAATTAAAATAAAAGAGAGAAATAAAACTGTGTGTAACGTTAACAGCTTGAACCAAATTCATTTTAATATGAGTCCTTATTTCCTGTGACGGGGGTCACGGTGGCTCGCTAGTCTGGAGTTCGGGTGTTCGATCCCTGCATTGGCCGAGAAAGTTCATCCAGATGTTTTGGCCTGGTTCCCCCTTGTCAGTGATGCAGGACGGAGGGCCTGATATGGACAGCTGTCTAGTCGTTCGGATGAGACGAAAACCGAGGTCCCGTGTACACATTGGCGTGCACGTAAAAGTTCCCTTGACAGTTGGAATTCGATATAAGAGTAGGTCGTAGTGCCGCTGACCGGGCAAAATTTCCCTCATAGCACACCGTATGCCCATCTTCATTAGCCCAGTTCGGAGCAGAACAGTAGGACTTTAAACTCATTTCATTTCTTATTTCCTGTGACGTGGGCGATATAAAGGGAAATTTTACTATGAAACAGCAAATAATATCCAAAATGTGGGGATTTTTAAAGACAATAGTCCGACAATAACTTATGTATGCTTGTGTATATACAACCATAACCTATTTCATGTATATATACTGTACATTTTCATCCATTATTATATTTATATAATATGTTATGTGTTCGCAATTTTAACTGTCTATATACACTCACATAGAAGGCAAGCAGCTATAGCTTATATTATTTAATGTATGTCAGAATGAAGTAAAGTGGAGAATTTTTTAAGTGGACGTACTTTTTTCTATTTATACATATAAATGGATAATTTTTTACCTGGACGTATTTTTTTTTATTTATTTATGTATATAAATAAATAAAAAAATTTTAAAAAATACGTCCAGGTAAAAAATTCTCCACTTTACAAATCAGTTAGTGTCGGCATACCTTTTTTATCTTTTCATCATTTACCGTGAAACAAAGTAGTGCAGCTTTGCGGATGGGCTAATAATTTTGGATATATATATATATAATTATTTAGGGAGCCTGAATAAAATATTGTTTTAAAACATGAAAATAAATAAAAATCTTATTTACCATTATTATTTGCTAAAGTAACAATATCTTTTTGTGACTCCCCACCATGAACGGTAGAATTTACAAATCAAATTCTGTAGAAACTGTATGCCTGGTCTTTGCGTTTTTTTCGCGGCCTTTGCTGCAATGTAACAAAAACGACATCACTATTTCTGATAACATTATACCTTACAATGTAATTCCACTAAAACACAAAAATTTCCATGACTTAAAATGTCTCCCTTATTTAATTATATTGGCATCTATCAGTTTCAAAAATTACGCATAAATGTCACATGTAAGACAGACAAGAGAATTTGGGGCTAAAAATATTTTGGCTAATGGAAGTTTCGACCTGGGGCAAGTTACACAACCTGCGGTATGTTTCTATTTACGCTACAACCCCCCCCCCCCCCAAAAAAAAAAGAAACCCCACAATAGAAGTATGAGTGGGGGAAATACTTTTCTGCTCCGATTGGGCTAATGAAGACGGGCACCTGCCATACAGTGTGCTATGAGGGACATAACGAAAACGGGCATACAGTGTACTGTGACGGAAATTTTTCCCGGACAGCGGCGCTAATTTTATATCGAACTCTAACTGCCAAAGGATCTTTTACGTGCACGTCAATGTGTACACGGGGCCTCTGTTTATCGTCAGATCCGAACGACTATGGTGGGGAAGGGTGATGGTGACTAAAGCAGGTGAATAATAGATATTTTCATATTCTGAATCAGAGTAACAATCATTTAGGAAGTGTTAGTAGATCACACACACAGTTATTTTATTGAATGAGACAGGTTATACTGCAAACTAATTTAATAAATACTGAAATATTTTATAACCAGACTTTGTTTTCATTTAAGCTATAAAAATTAGATAAAGGGGGTGTGAATCTGGCTTTACCCTCAAGTTAGAACCGGAGAGCGGGTTTGAAATATGTTTCATGAAAATATATTTTAGTGTGTAATAAGACAGGGATATCGGTTTTAACTCTAGATAATTCAGTTGTAACAATGGATATCCTGTGATACCTTTAACAAAGTGATTACAGAATTATATCAGCATTACTATGATGCGAGTTTTATAAAGTAAATAATTTATCAGGCTAAAAAAAACAATATAAGGAACTCACCGAATCTCTTAACGTCATGAGAACGTTTATTGATGTCGTCACTGTGAACACAATCCATTATAATCAGTAAAAGTAAGACTAGAACTAATTTATATTTAAACATGCTGATAAACTGATGACAAACTTAAAATAACAGATAGAAAATTCCTTAAACAAGGCTGGAGTCTCAATAACGTCAGATGTCAAACCCAGGGCTTCTTATATCTTTTTTAGAAGTTAATGATACGTGACGCTCGAAGAAGAAAAACCTCAAAAAATCCCCTAAAAGCTATTTATAACAATGACGTACAGCAAAGATAAGTTCAGATGAAATGAATTAAAATCTAGTTAATTATTTTGGTCCCGCTACCGAGCGTTTATCAAACACCATTTAATGAACTTTTTTATTTAACATTATTATGTATATGTATGCGTTTTCTCTTCCGGGTGCGGGGTCGCCTGGGTCTAATGCGTGTACTTTAGATCATGAGGTCTGTCATTTAGTCAAAGGGTGTGGTTTCGATCCCACACAAGCAATAGGGTCGTTTTCCTAACCTCGCGTGCTTTCTCTGCGCTCCTCCCCCTGCTAATGACCTCTACACGCAAGTGAATTGTTGAAATAAAATTGTATCACATTAGTCTCCAAAATTTAATGACCTTTTTTGTTTTGAGTGGACATTAAACTCCATTTATCTCTCTCCAGTTTCTTTCCGCTTACACCATTTTTTCTTGGGGGTTTGGATTTTTGGGGGGTTTTTTTTGTTAACATACGCAAAGGTATTGCAAAAAGTGCCGGAATCCTGGGACACGTGGATTTTTCCTGAAAATATTTTCTGGGAAAATTTGAACGAAAAATTACACGGGTGTACAGACATGATGGTTGACTCAACATATAAAAGATAGCCTAAACTCGACTGTAGAGACATAATCAGATGCACCCCCCCCCCCCCACATAAGCTAGGTATGTATAACCTATTTTGAAAAGGGTTCAAGCATGACGCGAATAGTAGGTGAAATTGTATTATAATTATAGAAAATTATGACCCTGCCAATATAGATCTTCCTGGTGCGATTTGTTATCAATGCGACAATCTACTGCTGAAAACCGAAAGGGTAGAAAACCCGCTCGATGAACTAACAGAGTGATAGGACTCAACTGATAACATCAGCAACGCCCTCGAGCCCCAGTCAAAGTGACTCGACAAAAACCTATAGTCTGCCGGATAAACACAGATTTATGTGTTTTCCTGGAAAAAAGTCCCATCAAAGCAAACTTGGTCTCAAATGAAAGGTGGGGTTCGTAGGTAACTCCAGAAAGAAATGACCTAAATTTTTGGGACGGGGTCAAAGGTCGCGGTCGACCAATCAGAAAAAAAACAGCCACTAACTCAAAAACTATCATTGTTAGACCCTATAAATGTATTATCAACATCGTGTACAAAATTTCTACAATGCTATAGATGAATGGACAGCGGTCTCCGATACTCTGAACCATGATTCTTAAGTTGCGGGTCCCCTTCCCATGGGGGTGGGGGACCTGACAAAACGTCGAAATTTTGAGTTTAATTCGACTTTTGCGTACAACAATCAACTTCCGTGCATAAGTCGATCAACTTCAGATGCCGCCAAAACACTGCTTAAAAAGACCCCCGACCCTTCCTTCCTCCCTTAAGAACACCCTCTTGAGAGAGGAGTTAATTCGACTTTCGCATACAACATTAATTTTTTCGTTAAAGAACGCGGAATCCCCTTCTATCCCGAATAAGAACGACAAAACGGGTGGCCCATGGGTGAAATGACCAAAATGACGATTTAATTCGCCTTTTGCGCACAAAGATCAACTTTCGTGCACGCGTCGACCAACTTCACGGCTTAAGAAGACCCACGCCCCTTCCTTTCTCCCTTAAGAACCGTCCCCCCCCTCCCCCTTAGAGATGAGTTAATTCGAATTCCGCGTACAACAATAATTTTTTCGTTTAAAGTTTCACTATTGGTTCACTAGAACATAACACTAACTGTTAAGAACGCGAAATCCCCTTCTATCCCGAATAAGGACGAGAAACCTATGTAAACTTACCTCAGATAACATCAAAAACTCTGCTTAAGTAGATCTTTACATGATGTCACCAGAAGAAGGCACCCTAACCGCTCTTTTACAACCTATTTTCTGGTTCAGAAAGATAGATAACACCTTCGTCATGATACTGCCGTCCCCCTTATTACCACGTTTACTAAAAGAGCCAAAACTATTTGTGATCCTGAATCCCTCAACCTGGGAGTACAACACCTATAAGACGTTTCATTCAACACAACCACTATTCAGAAATGGTAAACAAATTCACCAAGGCCACATTATCCAACCTATCAAAACTTGATAAACCAACAAATCATACACCCCCAACCAATTTAGAAGGTTATTTATAACAGAAGCAGGCATATAAACCACATTCCCCAAAGGCGCAACAACTAAGGAGTTAGTAAATGCTAATGGAAATTCAAACCTCACAAAGTCTACCTTCCAGAAAGGCTGTGTCTACCAAATTAACTGTAGATGTGGAGAATATTACATTGATGAATTCAAACGACCACCCAAGTAAGGAGCATGTGTCCAAAGCCCCCGCCAATATCTTTCCTAGCTCCCTTACTATAATCTTACCTAATGCTCCTTTAATTTTTTAAAACTAAGATAGATTTGAGTTAAACGTTTCGTCTACATATTACTTCGGCCATTTTGGGAGAACCCCATGGGTTATTTATTCTATGGTGGAACTTTGCCCAGGCACTGGCATTACAATCCATTAGTACAGACTGCTTTATTCGACACGGGGATATAGAGTTCCTATATCTTGAGATGGGGAAGTCGCAGCGGAAACACCCGGGGAACGTATCCGGCCAACACCCGGGAGCGAACCCTTAGCATCCAGCGCCCTACTCACTGGGACACCGCGGTTCCCCATGTCATAATTAGTTATGTTTTAATTCGTGCACATCAATGATATAAATAACTTTTAGGTTTTTGGGGCTTTTTTTTTTTAAATGTATGACATGCATCAGTAACTGTACACTGAAAAAACACTTGTGTTGGATCTCAACACAAGTACTTGTGTTAAAACTAATCTACACAAGTTATGTGTTGTTTTGCATTGCATTAACACAAACTTGTGTCGATTTATAAAATCTTGTGTTTTTTTCATATCATTAACACAAGTAATGTGTACCTTCCAAGATTTGTTTTCTTTTTAAAAAAAAAACTCCATACAAAGTCTGAATTCGGGAGTCGTCAAGTTTTAAGAAAAGTATTAAAGGGCTTAATTCACATCTCGAAAATCACATGCAGTTCTTCACTGGAAGGGTGTGAGTACCAATTAATCAGACAATTGCCAGACAGACTTGAATGTTAATTGATGTTAAGTTGTCTGTAAAGTTAAAATGTCTGTCTTTTTTTATTGACCCAATAAACTGATAGATCAAATGAATATATAGTGTACATGTGATTTTCAGCACCCTGGTGTTTTCGAAAATTGATTCAATGTACAATGAACAAAAGAAATTAGTAAAACTCTTAATAATGTAATTGGTTGATGTAATCGAAATTGGACAGTATTGGTTAACTGAAAAGTAACCAATCAAATTTAATTGATCATCCACGTGTATCTCATAATCGACTTATTGATATAATGGTTCTCCAAGTTATCTATACTTTTTGTCTGCGATATCACTTCGGTGGAAGCGGACGTAAAATACAACTAACTAAGAAGAAATATCTATACTTTAGTCATTGCGACAAATTCTTTCTTTGATATTATATCAGCGACATTCGGTTAGATAGATGTAGTGAAGTTAGCATCAACAGGGTGCTTTAGCCGTGATATTTTAAAAAAAATTATAATGGTCACATAGAATACCAGACCGCAGGTTTATAAATTTTTACAAAAAATAAAACCGTGTATTTAATTTAGCATGTATATATTGCTTCTATGTATATAATAATTCGTTCGGTTAAAACAGTCAGATTTAGAACTACTGCCACTGACTGCACCGGAAGTCTATTTATATAATGGCGCCACAAAGAAAATTTTTTTGATGTGTTCTAAAAGTGTTCCGCTAATTCAGCAATCTTATGAATCTGTCTTAATTTTTCTGAAATCGTGCTTAATTATTATTAGCTAATCGGCGCTACACCGTTGTTCAAATACTTATAATTGCAAGAAACCCCCGACTAGGACCAGTAGGTAAGAATCTGTCTTGATTTTATAGTAATACCCGGTTGCAATTATTGGCCGCCATCTTTGATTTTTATAGACGTTCGGGCAAAAGGAGAAATGTATATCCAGACATGGACTATAGCTAGATACTAACTTTTGTGTTAGTTGTTTAGTTGAAATGTAATCTTATTTCTGTAAAAGAAAAAAACAACAACAAACAAATCAGCCTTTTTTTATATCAATGTCATCAATGTGTAGGCCTAATATTAGACTTTCAATGATTCACTAGTTTCTCTACAGTTTCGTTATTTTTTTTTCCAGTCATTGATGTTAGCATGTACTACACAAAGAAAAACAGGTAACAGAATTTAATTTCCTTTTAATATATTTTTTTAATAATGGCCAATAATTGTTATTGTATGTAACACGAAAAGTATTTATCTCTGTAGAGAGAGGGCGAGTAAATGGGGTTTAAAGTTCACTAAATTCACTTGACACAAACTATGCCATTCATTTCCTTGTATTAAATTGGTCGAATCAAGTAGGTCCATGCTATATATATGTCCTAGAATCAAGTAGGACAGGTAGTCTTCTTCCGCCCTTTTTCTGAACACTGTCTCATTCTATTGCCATCTGTGTATGTTGTGTTATATTAATTCTGCATAATTAACTCTAGTTAACCTAGTTAACTCTATAATAATAAATGAATTTAATATATAAATAAATAAATAAAATATAAATAAACCAATAATATATTTGTAGTTTAATATGTTTTATCTTATCATTACAGGCAAAGCATGAAGCCAAAGGAAATGTTTTTACCAAGGCATGTTCCTCAATAGCGGAGAGAGTTTTATCCAGTGTCGGTTCTGCAGAAGAACCCATTCATAGCAGACCACCCATTGCAGCACTTGTAAGGTCGCTATAAAGAACCCGACAGACTCTGCGACGAAAAGATCCCACTGACGTGTCGTCAAGCGTAAGTACTCATGCAATTAAATACCCATGTATATAAGAATTTATTAACATGTAATTAAGTGTACAATTTTATTTATTTATTAACATGTACTTAAATGTACTTTTTTATTTATTTTTTGTTTTAGCTTGACGAAGATTTCATCGATCATAGTGCACCGGGATTTTATCAAAAAAGAGTAAAAGTTGGGGAAAGGCGCCATCACATTTTTTGTACTGATAGACAGATGCAACTACTCGCACGCGCAAAAACTTGGTATATGGATGCAACTTTTCGGGTGGTGAACAAGCCATGGTCTCAGCTGTTTTCCATACACGCCTTCATTAAGACTGGAGAGACCACCCGACAGTTACCATTGGTGTTTTGTGTAATGTCGGGTAAAAGCCAAGACGACTATTATAAGGTAAATAGCACTTACTGATTGAATTACTATTAATAGTAAAAAAGGACTATTATTTGGGACCTTGAAATTGTCACAAATGGGTCGCACTAACATATTTGTTTCATCGGTGACACGTCTGGTGTCATGTGAATGCAACGACAACAGCCTGGTTGATTGATTTGTTGATTGGAGTTCAGATGTCTACATTAAAATCGACCACTTTCAGGTTGCCGTATTCACGGCCAGGCAAGACCGACTTGAAATTTCTAGAAATTTTTCTGGGGGAGACAGGCCCCAACAAATCCCCCGACGGTGCGTTTCACGACTTTGGCGCAAGACGGTGACCTTGAAGAGACGTCGAAAACCATTTAATAGACATAGTAAAAGTCATATCTTACGAGATTGTCGCTGGTCTTGTCAGAAAATGCTATTTTATATATGACCAGTTTGTGTTTGAAAAATTTAATTATTTATTCTCCCACCATTAAAGCACACTAATTACGAAATATCGCTCTCAGAAACTTCATGGTTTCTTTTGCAATTTGTTTGGGGTAAGACGTTATATAAATAATATCAATCTGTCTACCACACAAATTTAACAGATACAAATGCATGTTATTCCACAGGTAGACAGACAGGGCCTCCTTTGAAGGGACTCAGTGAAGGGAACGCGGTTGGTTTAGAGTTTGTCTGACCCCTTTGAATATTTGCGTCTCATCTCCAATGAAAACAATCATGTTGCTCTCATGCTGTTCTCAACCAGAATCAAACATATATCGTACCTGAGATTTGTTAGCATGTTCCACACAACCCAACATTTATCAGTACCGGGATTAAGGGTGTATATCTTTGTTTCTAACGCTTATTGGGAATACGCCACGGAAACTACAATAAAAACTTATTTACAAAAACATTCTAAAGAGGGAAAACTGACATATTTCAAGCTTTACTGTATTTAAAGAAATAATTTAAATCAGCCGGCTGAAACCCCGTCTCCGCTATTTGTTCAGTCATTCTTTAGGTATAGTGCCAGTTTCCACCGACAATGATATTGCAAACAAGTGTCCAATCTTTTAAAGCATACATTCCTACAAAATGTTTCTTTAGTCAAGTGAAACAATAAATACATAACTATGCGAGGGTGTGGTGAGTAAATTCGTGGTAACGTGAATAGGCTAATGTGACATAGAACAAGGTCACATTGATGTTGACAAATACGTAGGACGATATGAACATCAACTAAAAAGATATGTAATGTGATTCAGCTGCAAGGTGATATATGCATATATGCAGCATAGATAATTAAAACTTCTATTCAAGTTAAACCAACTGTATCTATTTATTTAAGTCTTACGTCGAGCTGAATACATTTTATGATTTATTTTCATCTATTGGTGGTTAACAGTGTGTAACTAAAAACTAAAATTGGATCTTATTATTGCCAATGATATAATGTACATGTAATAGCAAGTGTATATATATTTTTTGTTCAGTCTGTACACAGTAACATATCTGAGAACCATATTATTATCATTTCTGCCCAAGGCTCCCTGTGCCTTATAGTTAGCAGTGATACAAGGCAATTACCAATTTTCCATGTTCTTGGCCTGAAGAAATAAAATAATAAAAGTCAAGTTTTTATTATTATGCAAGTGGAAAAATACAATTATTCATAGTATGATTTGAATAAATACAACTGATTTGAAGTTGGAATTATTATTTGTCTAAGATGACTGGGCATTTACAAATTGAAATAGCTACTCTTCAATAAGAAAATACCGGTACATGAATATTTTTCCCAATTCACCTGGATTTTATTGTAGGTCTTTGCACGTGAAATAGCTTTATTTAACGTCCGCTACCACCGAAGTGATATTGCAGAAAATTAACAAATTCGGATTCCCTTTTAAAGGAAATTGACTGCACTATTGCTGGATTGTATTATATAGGTCATGTCAGTTTTTTTCAAAATGGCGCCCAGAACACAAAACAAACATTGCAATTCAGGGCTGACTGGTGTCGAGGCTGTATCCTAAGAATGATTTTTTGAATATTTAATCACACAGAAACACAAGTATGCACATGCAGTTATGATATAATATTAAATTAGCTTACCTCAAATACCTCGAAATATACTGTTTGGTCAGTTTGTCCGCCCGCCATATTTCTATTAGTCACACATCCTTCGGCCAATTAAAATGGACGTATATTTTGTTTTAACCGAAACGAAAAATTTGCGTTATAAATAGTAAACGAGCTTGATTGACAGACCACTGCTAATGTTTTTTCGTGAAACGGTATAACACACGGCCGCCATTCTCGATGATTGACAACTCACATTTTTCCTCATCCACCAAAGAACCGTTAGGTTTCTTTGAACATACTGTAATAACATTGGGATTATCAGTTAATCAGCTTTAATTATCCCGCTTTGATCGTTGCCATTTCTTATATTTTCCACAAAAAAACTTTGCCTTGTACGCACTAATTTATCAATTGGTATTGCCATCTACGACAAGCATGTCAACGTGCAGCTCACGGATTATCGTTAACAATTTCTAGGGGCTTGTAAAAAAAGATTGCATGTCGTGTAAATATTTATTTTGTTTTTTGTGTAGGTCATTGTGTAGGTCAGTTTTACTAACCACGTGTTTCATGTTAATAAATATTTTCTTTCGTGTTTTGTTTGAATTGGCCTATTTCTAATAAATTATCCCGAGTCCCAAACGTCGTTAACCTGAGTCCCAAACGACGTATACCGGAGTCCCAAATGTCGTGGTCATATTTTTTTTAGTCCCAAATGACGCGAGTCCCAAATGATGTGAGTCCCAAATGACATGTAATCAACCTAGAGTTGTTGTTAGTGTTTGTCGGATAGATCCTTTATACTTACTGGCGCTAGGTAATTTCGAGGCTAATATTGTTCAATTTTATTTGAATGATTTGCTTGCGCGTACCGTAGGAGTGTATTAGAAACAGTGTTTGCGCAGGTCCGAGAACGGCTGAAGAACATGAAAACACTTTCATGAGTCTCGAACATGAGAGAACGGTATCCATGGTAACAAGATGAATTAAATTCATACAATCTGTTACGATAACTTGTTTAGTATTTACTTCGCTATTAAGCATAATTTTGATAAATTATGACACCGTTTTACTCCTTTTCAATTCTTTGGATGACGATTACATCACCTTTTGATACGCTCTCGTCCGTAGGTTTGTCCATCGTCTACAGAACTGATTATTTTAAAATTGATATGTTGTTTATTTTAATGAGATGAATCCTATTTAATTTCAATAATTTCTGTTAGTTTCTTCTGGAGTTATGGCCCTTGTTTCACTTTGTGAAATTCATTTGAATCTTTTGAATTAGTGAAACGAAGACGTCTATTAAATTTCTGCGATTTCTGTGAATTATGTCTAGAGTTGTGGCCCTTGTTTCACTTTTTCGAACCTTGTGAACGCACGAACAACAAAATTATCATCCGATTTGTATGAAAATTGTATGCATTATTTAAATTAGTAAAACACAAAACAAAAAAATCTGTCAAATTTCAACAATTAAGGCCCTTGTTTCAGTTTGTAGAACCTTTGTAAACCCACAAACGACAAAAATTATAATCTTGTATGAAATTTTCTTGTAAATGCCCAAATTACCTACAAAAGAATGAATATGCGACAATCCCTGTTGACTGCGCAAACGATTAAACTGCTGTGGGCATATGTTTCGTTGCCCTGCAACCTAACTTACTTCATGTTATACTGGCCACATACTACATCCAATTTTCGAACGGTATTAAACTTCTAAATTAATAAATGCACCCATGATGCTGTTTTCTCAGCAGTTATCGATGCGTCGACCTTTGTAAACCCACAAACGACGAAAATTATAATCTTGTTTGAAATTTTCTTGTAAATGCCCACATTACCTACAAAAGAATGAATATGCGACAATCCCTGTTGACTGCGCAAACGATTAAACTGCTGTGGGCATACGTTTCGTTGCCTGGCAACCTAACTTACTTGATGTTATACTGGCCACATACTACATCTAATTTTCGAACGGTATTAAACTTTTAAATTAATAAATGCACCCATGATGCTGTTTTCTCAGCAGTTATCGATACGTCGACCATGTTTGTTCTCCCTCACACCAGCTATGAAGTAGTGTGGGATTTGAGAACGGGAATGTGTTCGTGAACGTTCTCTGCACCGGAACACTGTTTCGAATACACCCTAGGGGTATTTAGGAAAGGGAGGAAACCGGAGGACCCGGAGAAAACCCACAAGGCTGGACAGGCGACCCTATTCCTAGTCACATTCAAGTGGGGAATCACATAATAATGGCCTATTTCAAATAAGATATTTGCATATAAAGAAAGAAGGCTTACAGCCTCTTTCAAATGTGATATTTGCATATAAAGAAAGTACAAACTTAAATCGTCAGTGCTGGATAAACTAGCCAAAGGATTTGGCTGAATCAATTGGCGCTAAACTTCACCTAGTTTATCCACTGACATACGCCCGAATCAAACATGTTTGATATATTTGGCCGAATTGTATTTGAGTGGTGTGTCCGCTTCGCCGAAGCATTCGTCTGATTTTAGAATTCATTAGCCAATCACCACTCATTCATATCGAGTGGGTATCGCAAACTAGCAGTCGAACTGTGACACGGGTGCTACAGCCAACAAATTCAAACTACCATACTATCGGCTTAAATGCACGCCAATGGGACCTCAGGTTTTGTGTTCCATTGAAACGACTAGAAATGAAATGAAATGGGGTTTAACGTCCTACTGTTTTGCTCCGAACTGGGCTAATGAAGACAGGCATACTCCACACAGTGTGCTATGAGGGAAATTTTGCCCGGACAGCGGCACTGCGGTGTATCGAATTCCAACTGTCAAGGGATCTTTTACGTGCACGCCAACGTGTACACGGGACCTCGTTTTTTCATTTCATCCGAATGACTAGACAGCTGTCCTTGTCAGGCCCTCCGTCCTGCATCACTGACAAGGGGGAACCACGCCGGGAAATCTGGGTGAACTTTCTCGGCCAATGCAGGGATCGAACACCCGACCTCCAGGCTAGCGAGCCAGCGTCTTACCCACTTAGCCACCATGACGACTAGGCATGGAATCCATGCTGAAAAATTCAAATGAGCTTTCTCGGTCAACACTGGGAGCGAACCCGCAACCTCCCGGGTACCAAGCCAGTGCCTTACACACTAAACCACATGACTCTCTTCTAATTACTGTGACAGTCCAGTCACATGACAATCAAGGGTTATTAAAACAGATTTTCAAGGCTTGGGTAAGATCTTCGGGATTCAAATGGTTTTAGATATCACACAGTTTGTATATGGTAAGGTATCTTAAACAGTTTATTACATGTCACATATTCATATTTTTCAGTTTCCATATTAGATGCCATAGCAAATCAAAGATCATATAATAAAATAAGTCAAAAAACCCAAATATGGAAAAAGAAAAAGCTGAAGAAATGGTGATTTGAGCACCTATGCTTTCTCATAGGTGTTTTTGGAGGGTGAGTGTTCAATTCTAATAGAAAAGGTTGTTGTTATGGTATTTTAGAATCTCGCCATAATGTGTTTGGCACAATATATCCCGGTTGGAGCTGATGTGACATAAACCTCCATTTCATTTCATTGTTTTGAAATTTAAAATTCAGTTTAGTATAGTAAATTTGTACACGTACATGTATGTGCACAAACAGAATCTTACTTATGTCCAGATACATGTAGATATGACTGTCTCATCTGTGGGGGACCACGGTGGCCAAGTGGGTTAGACACTGGCTCGCATATTTTAAGGTCGCGGGTTTGCAGTAAGACATTGCAGTACGGAGGACTGGGCTAATGAAGTTGGGCATATGCCATACAGTGTGCTACGAGAGAAATTTTGCCGGGTACCGTGACCTTAAGGCCTTCTCTTGTATCAAATTCTAACTGCCAGGGGATCTTTTACATGCACACCAATGTGTACACGGGACCACGTTTTTTGTTCAATCTGAATGACTAGACAGCTGTCCTTGTCAGGCCCTCCGTCCTGCATCACTAACAAGAGGAAACCACGCCGGAAAATCTGGGTGAACTTTCTCGGCCAATGCAGGGATCGAACACCCGACCACCAGGCTAGCGAGCCAGCGTCTTACCCACTTAGCCACCATGACGACTAGAAAGGGAATCCATGCTGAAAAATCCAAATGAGCTTTCTCGGTCAACACTGGGAGCGAACCCGCAACCTCCCGGGTAGCAAGCCAGTTCCTTACACACTAAGCCACATGACTCTCTTTTAATTACTGTGACTCTCCAGTCACATGACAAACAAGGGTTATTAAAACAGATTTTCACGGTTTAGGTAAGATCTTCGGGATTAAAATGGTTTTAGATATCACACAGTTTGTATATGGTAAGGTATCTTAAACAGTTAATTACATGTCACATATTCATATTTTTCAGTTTCCATATTAGATGCCATAGCAAATCAAAGATCATATAATAAAATAAGTCAAAAAACCCAAATATGGGAAAAGAAAGAGCTGAAGAAATGGTGATTTGAGCACCTATGATTTCTCATAGGTGTTTTTGGAGGGTGAGTGTTCAATTCTAATAGAAAAGATTGTTGTTGTGGTATTTTAGAATCTCACCATAATGTGTTTGGCACAATATAGCCCGGTTGGAGCTGATGTGACATAAACCTCAATTTCATTTTTATATTTTGAAATTTAAAATTCAGTTTAGTATAGTAAAACTGTACACGTACATGTATGTGCACAGACAGAATCTTACTTATGTCCAGATACATGTAGATATGACTATCTCATCTGTGGGGACCCATGGTGACCAAGTGGGTTAGACACTGGTTTGCATATTTTAAGGTCGCGGGTTTGCAGTAAGACGATGCAGTACGGGGGGCCTTACAAGGACAGCTGTCTAGTCGTTCAGATTGAACAAAAAAACGTGGTCCCGTGTACACATTGGCGTGCATGTAAAAGAGCCCCTGGCAGTTAGAATTTGATACAAGAGTAGTCCTTAGGGTCACGGTACCCGGCAAAATTTCTCTCGTGGCACACTGTATGGCATATGCCCAACCTCATTAGCCCAGTCGAAGCTGAACAGTAGGACGCCAAACCCTATTTCATTTCATTTTTTTCATTTTGTCTCATCTGTGACAAAGCAAACCAACACATTACAATACAATTTAATTAAATTAAAACTTTCGTCTATTTAAATATTGAATCGATTTAAGTCAACTAAAACATAGTATGTTTTTTTTCTCAGTTAACTACATCAGAAAGATCAAGACAGTTGGAAATGGCTATTCATATTATGGAAACTTTTTCTCACAGAGCTTGATAATCAGGTAAAATGTAAGTAACATACATATTTGTATTTTTAATCATCAACTAGTTCTATACACTTGATTGGTAATCTAGTTATTCTTCTTGTGGCAATGCCTAGGACTCTCCTATTCAAGTCTTGGCATTCTTGATTTTTGACAATCACATCCATTGATTTTCTTCAAGTTGTGATAGACCCTATGTGTATTTTTACAGTAAATAGCAGTATAAAAATGGACAATATTTTACTTTTCAAATAGATTTTAATAGGTAATATCCAATTTGTTGTCGATGGAAATAAAATATGATAATCTGCCTGGGTCTGTTACTGGACAAGACACAATAAGTGTTACCCAAAGATGAAACAAAATAGAGACTCAGTCTCGATGTGGCAAAATAAATTGTTTATTTAAACATTGTGAACCATAAATAGTAAGAAAGTATTCTTATTGCCTACTTTTTATTTTTTAGGCTGGAAGATTATTTGATGTATGATAACAACAAGAGATCCCAAGCATCAATTTATTTTATAATTCTGGAAAAGAATGCATTTGACCCAATTTTTGAATATTTTTTTTTGTTTTTACTGTTAAATATTCATCCCAAACACAATTAGATTTTAATTCTCTACAGAAATTTATGTATAATATAGAATGTAAAGTGACATATAAATCACTTAGAATTTGGTCGGAAATCATAAAGTATTTAATAGGCATAGTCTAGAAACCAAATGTAGATCAAATATACCCAGAATTACAAAAAACCTTGACCTACATTAAGGTGACTTTCCCTTGCTTATGAAATGAAATAGGGTTTAATATCCTACTTTTCTGTGTTATTATGGTGATTCTGCCCTACAACCTACTCTTATATCAAATATTTCAACTGTCAAGGGTTGTTTAAAGGGAACCCAGGAGGGCCGAATGGTTAACACACGCACATTGGATCAGAAGGGTCTGTCATTGAGTCAGATAATTCAATTGTCAAGGGTTCTTTAAAGTAAACGCAGTGGGGGTAGTTTCAATTTTGGGCTTATACCCAATTATCCCTTGCCATGTCCTACACTACTGACGTGTGGGAACTATGTCGGAAAATCCAGTTGAAATTTCTCGGCCAATGCACTCACTCAACCACAGTGGCTCCTCCTTGCTTTTGACTTGTGATTATTTATATATATTTTGTACATATTATTTAATGTTTGCGATTTTCTCTGATATTTTTTTATTTTTCAATCCTGTAATCTTGATGCTTTGCTCCTTTTATGTACAAAATATTCATTTTGTTTGAGGAAAAGGTTCTACATCATTTTATTACTCCTGCAAAATAGTGCATTTTTCTTTTGTTAGTTTTCTGTGTATGCTAGTTATTTCTAGATGCCTCACAAATCACTTGTAATATGACTTTGTAGCACTTTTCAGTTTCTGAAAGTATTTCAATTTAGTGCATAATTAATCTAATTAGGGCTTGGTTTGGATGTTATTAAATTTAGATATATTTGAATTATATATTTTTGGGGTATGGGGTAGGGATCTTTCTTTTCTCAGTTCTTGTTTTCGGGTAAAGAAAAAATTAAATAGCTATTTTGTATTTTGTGATGTGGGGGGGGGGGGGGGGGCAAAGTATAACAAATTTTTTATTACTATTAGAATTATATCTCTGTTTTTTCTGTTAACATTTCAAATGATGTCTATTTAGTTTTGATTTGGTGGTGTTAATTTACTTTTTCCTATCATTTTATGAATAAATGATAATTTAACAAATAAAATTATTGTTACCTCATTTATCAAACTTTACAGGTTAAACAGAGCAAAAGGGGTGGGGGCTGCATGGGAAAGATTGCTAAATTGAGGGAAAATAAAACACAAGTTTTTGTTGGTGGTTATACACAAGTTTTTATGAAACCACACAAGTTTCAGAAATTTCAACACAAGTTTCAGAAATTTCAACACAAGTTTCAGAAATTTCAACACAAGTTTCAGAAATTTCAACACAAGTTTCGACACAAGTATTGTGTAGATTTTCACACAAGTTTCAACACAAATTTGTGTTGTTTGGTAAATTTTAACACAAGTCTTGTGTTGTTTCAACATTTTGTCAATGATCGACAATGCTTTCTCTGCTTGTGTGTGTATCGTTTGCTCTGCAACAAAACCCTCGTAACGCGCAATACTTTCATTCCCTCCCGACAACGGTTTTTCAAAAACCCATAAATACGTCTTCTGTATTTCCTTTCCTGAGTTGGATTTTACAGATTTGCTGCTACCATCAGCAAATATATCAATTAACCGCCAACCTTGTTTTAAATGATTTTTAAAATGGTTACTCCAATCGCATTCCAGGCGAACACTTTTACCGAAAGCTCCCTCGTTCATTTTTTGTATCACTGAGACTGGTTCAATGAGATAAACATACATTTCTGGATCAAGGAAGGTTGGTGTGTCGAAGAAGAAGTCCATCTGGAGAACTGAAATTACGATTACAATGTATATATAACACGGAGGTCAATTGATCAAGTGTCCTGACTCCGGCAGCAACTATCTTATCAATTTACATGATATCAACTTTATACTTGTAACTTGTGTGCCGAAACTGCCTCCAAAATCATGTCTTGTCTCCAACAGAATGGTCGATTTTAGCTATAATACTCTTAGGAGGACAGATGTTTTTGGGGTTTTTTTTCAAGTGCGATTTTCATAGTAGTCACTGGATGGGGGCAAAGTAAAAACAAAAACAACTTTTCTTCTATTCAAAGCACTCTCCCAACTTTCCCATTAAAAGACAATTTGGCATTTGTAGTATCGGACGGTTACAGATGCATTAGTATATAAATGGATTTGGTGTTCAATTTCTTTGTTTTAAATATCTATTTCAGAAGATGTGATGTAAAATGAAAACTTGGATGTGAACATATTGTGAAAATCTGCAGCATTCACTATTTTATAGACTATTATATTTGTACAAAAGATATATATATTCATGAACTGTTTAGACTCATTTGGCCATGTACTGAGATGAATGTACTTGTCATTTCATTTTATGTATTACTCGATTATTAAGGTAATATGTAGTCTAACACTATAAATATTGTTTTATCTTTAAACAGTAAAAAAATGCGTTTCCATATTTCTATTTTTCTTTTCACAATAAAGAAAAATTAGTATGACATGAGAATTTCATTTTAAAATACTAATGTTTCTTTATTTTGAAAAATAAAGGTAAATGTGGAAACGAATTTTATATATGACAGAGCAATATATATCGCGTAAGACTACCTAGACACTCAAGTGTTGACCCCCCCCCCCCCCCCAAAAAAAAAAAATACGTTCAGACCGATCTGAGTACAGTGCCTACTTCTAAGTTCTAAGAAAAGCCCATAAATCACTAAAGTTATCATTAAAAATCAGTTATTTGATAAAGGCACCCATATCATGTATACAGGATGTTATAAGACTGTATATTGTACTGCTAAATTCCACAGGTTGTCAGGGTTGACAATCGTGACTTCGTGTATTATCATGGCAATGATACTTGACAACAGGCTATTTCTTTTCAAACTTCAAACACTCAGAATTCTGTATTTTGACTGAAATGTTCAATATAATTCATTTTTCATTATCTATTATTAAATTTTTTTTAGCAAGAACAGTCAGCGCTTTTAACTAAATCTTACATCATGTATCTTTAAAAAAATACCCTATATTTTCTGTTTTCTCAAGTTCATATGAAGTCAAGCGTTCAGATCCTTGTTAACGGCCGAGAATGTATATATATCTTTAGGGTGAAACGTCGTTTTTTAAACGATTGGGTGTTGTATAATATTATAGATAAGAAATCGGTCATGTAAAGTTTGTTTTTATAGAGATATTTCGGCTGGAACAAATCACGTCTCACATTTCTACACACTATAAATAAAACATTGCTACTGTTCATTCATATTACTACATTCAGGTATCGGATTTCTAGGTTATATTATGGTTAAACAGGTGTGTGGGAATTTCCCAACTCCCCAACCGGTCTGAAAATAGAAACGCCCGATGTCAACAGGTGGCTGACGTATTCATTGAATTATCATTTAACGTCTGCACTGAGAATCGTGACTTGCAATATACCGTAAATCAAACATACGTTATTAGGCAACGAAACATACGTCCACGAACAGCTTTCCCAAATTCCATAAATATTTCCTTATCAATAGACATGATACAAAGTTTCGTCCTCATACAAAACAATAAATTTCCAAAATATTATAAAGATGCCATGATTGTGGCCCGAGTGTCGCGTTGACTGACAAGGGGGGTGCTGGATTGTCAGTCCAGAACGTCTCGAATTGACAGGAGTGCAATCGAGTGACGCGGAATTCACGCTTAAATTCGTCACGTAATTAAACTCTTTTTTTATATAAACATATTTTATTCACTATAAATGAATGGGAAATTGGGGAACGGGCAAAATGCCTATGTCAGACCCCTATCCCTATTTACAATACAAACTATATACTAATAATGAAAAGCAGTATATACAATATATACAACCCTTACTTAGTTGAATACACCTAAAGTATTATAGTATGTAATAATAATAATAATATTAATAGGTGTCACAGCTCCATTGCCCTCGTTGGAAGAAAGTCATTTTTTCCCGATTTGTAACCCTTTTTCAACTTAACGTCATACGGTGGCTATTTAATATTTTGTAATAATTTTTAAATATTTTGGAAGCCGATATCCTGTTCTTTTGTTTGATATAATTTTTATATATGTGTTCATTTTATTAATTTCATAAACGTAAGTTGAAAAACGTTAATTTCCCGTGTTTTGACGTTACGCTGAAAAATTTTGTCACGTTTTTAAACGAGGGTACCCCACTTCAAGTGCTCGGCGGGCGCACTTATTATTAATATTATTTTTTCATTCTAATATCATTAGAAAGATAAATGAACGATCTTTCAATTGGTCGGGGGTGCTTTGTTGGCATTTCGAAATACCATGCATTTTTTGCAAGTTGAACGCTTCAATTCACGCAATCTTTTTTTTAGGCGATTTGTCAATATAGCACCCCCGACCGATTGAAAGTTCGTTTTATTGTCGTTTTGATGCTATTAAAATCAACAAAATCGGAGCATGGCAAGTGCGCCCGCCAAGCAATTGAAAATGGTATACAATGAGAAATTTTGTCAAAAATAAATCGCGTAGTTCAGCCTTGTTATGACGTCATTTCAACACCAAAACTAAAATGTATTCCATGTTCCTTAGACTCATATTCGCGGTAAATTACGTCGAAAGGCAACTCCGATGTTTATTTATGAAGTAAGCGTTATGTTATATGAATAAAGGACTTGCCTGAAAATAAATAAGGATAGTTAATTCCATTTTTTTCACGCCTTTTGACTTTGCTGGGTTGACTGTTTACATCACGTGACTCATATTCGCGCGCTTTTATAACCATGTGACAGAATACAAATATAAAATCGAATGGAAATTTCCTATCGGCAACCACACGTCTTTACTTTTAACACCAAACATTTTTCAAGAATTGAACAATTCCGTAAAATTGACGAATGTTTCAATGCTCTGAAATCATAAATTCGCTGTTGACTGAATTATTCAAGCCCAATTTTAAAGCATTTCTGTGCACACGAATGGAAATGAAACCGGAAAAGATCCACACGGGTCTTGGTACTGACAGCAGGCGTGAGGAAGATAGTATAGGTACTACTGATAATTAGTACATCGATTTCTATCCACTTAAACGGATATTATACCCAAATATATAAAGTTGGACCAACTAGCTGAAATAATTTGAAAAATGGCTCAATTTGCAACATTTCGTTTGAGATGATGGAACCGACATAGATTATGAATTAGGTCAGTCATGTCAATACTAATTACTATCATCACTCAGTATTGATACGGATACCAAATTTTCGCAAAACGTTTTAGTTTTTACTAAATAATTTAGCATTATATAACAGTTGTCATACTAATTATTATAATTTTAATTCTTTTTTTTAGGAAAATATATTTAACACCTCGAGTATCACATATTTGTTGGCCAGTTAAACAATTGAATGAACCGACAAACCTAAGGCCTTAATTGGGCCTTGATTCGATATTTGTTTACATTGATTAAAATATACAAAAAAGGAAGCTGCTCAATGGGCTACATACCAATTTGAAGGAATAATATAAATATTCAAAAGTGAAGTAAAAACATAACAATTCTTTGAGTTAAATTGTTGCTTTTAGGCCTAGGCCTTTATAAACATGACTAGGCCTACCATAGCCTATCAGTAACTGAGTAACCTACTTTTACTCTTTAGTCTTTAGAGAATAATTTTTTATTGGTCAGTGTTATCTTCTGAGTAGAAAATATGTAAAAGCAGAATTCTAACAATAATGTAAGCAAGGAATGCTGAGAACAATGATAATGCAACAAGAGTTGTCCGTTTTTTAAAATTATGTGGTTGCTATGACAACCATCCAAAATCCTTAATAATTCACTAAAATTATATAATTCTTAATATTTTGTATTACATGGGCTATAAATATATGCTAAAAAGCTTTCTGCTACTGTACTTAAAATGTGGCGATCAATTG